ACTCAGGGGAGATGTGGTTTGATGAAAGCTTCAGAAGAGTCTGATAAAACAGTATCAACTATGCTGATCCTTTAAAGGAAACTGGATAAAATCTGCCTGCTTGTCTTTTACTTTATTCTTTTTACAAAAACACACAACGCCTCGCTAATTTGCCTAAAATTCCCCTTGGGAACCATGCTAATCCACTCTATCATTCTAGTTTGGGTAGGTAGGCCAAAGGAAGCAGAAAGTAATGCATTTTTTTATTATTATTTTTTAATGTTTCTTTATTTTTTTTGAGAGAGAGTGCAAGCGGGGTGGGGGCAGAGAAGGCAGAAGACACAGAACCTGAAGCAGGCTCCAGGCTCTGAGCTGTCAGCACAGAGCCTGACACGGGATTAGAACTCACAAACCACAAGATCATGACCTGAACCAAAGTCGGATGCTTAAACAACTGAGCCACCCAGGCGCCCCACAGGAATGCATTTTTTTAAAAACGTTTATTTATTTTGAGAGAGAGAGAGAGAGAGAGAGAGAGAACACAAGAGGGGGAGGGGCAGAAGGAGAAATTCCCAAGCAGGCTCCTTGATGCCAGCGCAGAGCCCAGTGTGGGGACTGATCTCACAAACTGTGAGATCGTGACCTAAGCAGAAATCACGAGTCAGATGCTTAACCAACCGAGTCACCCAGGAAGCCCAAAAGTAATGCATTTTAAAAGACAATTTTCGGGGCGCCTGGGTGGCGCAGTCGGTTAAGCGTCCGACTTCAGCCAGGTCACGATCTCGCTGTCCGTGAGTTCGAGCCCCGCGTCGGGCTCTGGGCTGACGGCTCGGAGCCTGGAGCCTGTTTCCGATTCTGTGTCTCCCTCTCTCTCTGCCCCTCCCCCGTTCATGCTCTGTCTCTCTCTGTCCCAAAAATAAATAAAAACATTGAAAAAAAAAATTTAAAAGACAATTTTCAGAATGGTGTGGAAACAAAATGCCAAAAGTACAAAACTCCAAAATCCTTGAGATCTAAGAATGTGCAATTCAAAATCTAAGACAGAAAAAATGTTCAGTTCATCACCATCAAAAAACAAGAACACAGGAGTCATTCCACAAGATCTGTTATACAGAAATCTGGAGACACTGGAGAGCTTCTATGCAAAGGAAGAAGTGCAAAAGGCAAAGGAGACCATTCCCCTCGTGGAATGAAAGCTTGGTTTGAATCACCTGGCTCTTTCAGGGACCTTCAACTTGGTTTAAAGTGATCCAGCCACCCATCAGAAGAAAACACAAAATCTTTGGAAGATAACAACTTCATCCTCACTCTCAAATTTTTTTTTTTCAACGTTTATTTATTTTTGGGACAGAGAGAGACAGAGCATGAACGGGGGAGGGGCAGACAGAGAGGGAGACACAGAATCGGAAACAGGCTCCAGGCTCTGAGCCATCAGCCCAGAGCCTGACTCGGGGCTCGAACTCCCGGACCGCGAGATCGTGACCTGGCTGAAGTCGGACGCTTAACCGACTGCGCCACCCAGGCGCCCCCTCACTCTCAAATTACTCAACAAATAGTTTAAGTTACAGTGAGCGGTACACCATCAAAGATAAGCACACAGGGAAATTAGACTTTGGAAGCAAACGACAACAGAAACAGGTCTTTAAAGACTTCACAGGTTGGGGAGGCTGCGTGACTCAGCTGGTTAAAAGTCCGACTTTGGCTCAGGTCATGATCTCACGGACCGTGAGTTCGAGCCCTGCATTGGGCTCTGTGCTGACAGCCGAGAGCCGGGAGCCTGCTTCAGATTCTGTGTCTCCCTCTCTCTCTGCCCCTCCCCTACTTGCACTGTCTCTCTCTCTCTCTCTCAAAAATAAATAAACATTAAAATAAAATTTTAAAAAAGACTTCACAGATTGAAATTGTTATTATTGTTTTATTTTTGAGAGAGAATATGCACGTGCACAAGTGGGGCAGGGGCGGAAGGGGGAGAGACAGAGAATCTTATGCATGCTCTACACTCAGTGCAAAGCCCAATGTGGGGCTCGATCCCATGACCCTGGGATCATGACCTGAGCCAAAAATCAAGAGTCAAACAAACGTTCAACGGACTGAGCCACCCAGGCGCCCCCACAGAATTACACACTAAACACAGAATGTACAGAATTAAAAACAGAATCTTGTACAAGCAGGCTTACTTACTCTGCTTAAAGAAACAAAAGACAAGTTTAAAAATAATTGCAGGGAAAACTACTGAAAACTTCCATAGCAGATTTTAGAAATAATAAGTGGAATTTTGGAAATTAAAAATGTAATAAAAAATTTAAAAATCAAGGAAAGGTTGGGGCGCCTGAGTGGCTCAGTCAGTTAAGCATCCGACTTCGGCTCAGGTCATGATCTCACGGATCATGGGTTCGAGCCCCGCGTCGGGCTCTGGGCTGACAGCTCGGAGCCTGGAGCCTGCTTTGGATTCTGTGTCTCCCTCTCTCCCCGCCCCTCCCCCACTTGAGCTCTGTCTCTCGGTCTCTCTCTCTCTCTCTTAAAAAAAATAAACATGAAAAAAAATTTTTTTTTTAAAGAAATAGCAGGGGGGCGCCTGGGTGGCCCAGTCGGTTGAGCATCCGACTGCGGCTCAGGTCACGATCAAGCATTCTTGAGATCTCGCATTCTGTGGGCCCGCATTCTGTCAGGCCCTGTGCCGACAGCTCGGAGCCTGGAGCCTGCTTCGGATTCTGTGTCCTCCTCTCTCTCTGCCCCTCCCCCACTCTCACTTTGTCTCACTCTGTCTCTCAAAAATAAATAAATGTGAAAAAGATTTAAAAAAATAAAAATAAAAAAAATAAATAGCAGGAAGAAACGGTAATGACAGGTGGTGAGACGGAACGCAACAGAATTACTTTAAAGGGGCTCTGACCATTTGAATTGATGAACTCCAGTATTCCCTATTCCAAAAAGAAGCCAAAGCCGCTTACCGATATTCGTATCATAAAATCCATACAATAAATTTAAAATGAGACAAGTAAAACACAGAAGGACAGAAGACGTCCGTAAGCTGGATGCAGTAGTAAAGATTCATTCCCAGAATGCATGGTCTAGGTTTGGATTTGCTTTCTAGAGGACAACCACACATTTGCCTTTAAACATTTTAGCACCTGGGGTGCCTGGGTGGCTCAGTCGGTCAAGCATCCGACTTCGGCTCAAGTTATGATCTCACAGTTTGTGGGTTCGAGCCCGGCATCGGGCTCTGTGCTGACAGCTCATAGCCTGGAGCCTGCTTCCGATTCTGTGTCTCCCTCTCTCTCTCTCTCTCTCTCTCTCTGCCCCTCCCCCTGCTTACACTCTGTCTCCCTCTCTGAAAAATAAATAAACGTTAAAAAAAATAAAAAAATAAAACATTTTAGCGCTTACACAAATCAAGTCCATCATCAGATTTTCAGTAAAAACCAACTAGTTGTTCGGGGAAAACAACTAGTCCTAAAAGACATAATAATTAGAAACGGTAAAAAACATCTGCAACATCCTATTACAATAAATGCAGTGGCACACTTAATGGGACCAAAATGTAATTCATCAAATGCAGCTTTAGAGGGAAGACCAAGGAAGACCAACAGGATCTATTCCAGGGGCGTGGCCCAGGTCCAGGGGGAAGATCTCAGGGGAATGGATGGCCTGCACGTGTTTCCGAAAATCTTTAATACGTAAGTGCTGGTCTCAGCCAAGCTTCCGCAAGCAGTGGCATTGAGAGTCATTCCTTCACGAGTACCTAGGTGTGTACTTGTGTGGCTAGTGAAGTACAGGGCCAGATGCTGAACTACGCACTAAGCCAGGATGAGGATTGTAGGCTCTTGTGAAAACTGAGCGGTCAGTAATCATTCCATCTCCACTCACAGCGGTGGGGTCCAGGCTGTTCCTTAACCAGTCTTGTAACTTCAGAGAGCAGATAACACTAGCTCTATGTCCTAGAAGTGGCATTAACTGAAAAGGAATAGGATTTAACGTATTTGAGCCATAGCAAGAGAAAAATCAAAAGGACTTGCTATAATTGTTGAGGCTGGCAGAAAGTAGTCAAAGATACCTACAGAGTTTTGAATGAGGGGGAATGGAAGTACTATAACGGAAGAAAACTGGGCAGACAAGTTTTGAAGGTAATAGAACAGTTCCATCTTAGATAAAATGTTTTGAGCCTGAAAATCTGAGTGGAAATGACTCGCAGACATTTTCTAGCATTTTCTACATATTTAGAAATCTGTACCCAGAGGTAATAATCAAAGTCACAGTGTAGTTCTAATTCCCAAACTATCAAAATCCCTTCTCCTCCAAATCACTGGCCCAGTGCAGACACAAGAACCAGATCCTACAAGATACATCATCTGAAAGAAGCACACAGCCACAGTACAAAAAGCAGGTTATGCTTTGGAGTGATTCAGTGCACAGGAAGAGTGTTCAATACAGCTGCACCGAGTCTGACTTGGAAAGATGAATGTATAGATCTATATCCTATCACTTGACATCAGCAGAGAATTAGACTGTATGGCTTACGTTTGGAGAATGATACAATTTCTTCACAAAGTAAATACTATCTACTCTCTGTTTTATATTTAAGAACACTCAGGTACATTCTGTTCCCACGACCAGATTTTCCTAAGAATTATTAAATTGCGAACATGGAGATTTATCAGATATATCCAAAATTTTCCATGAGAAAAGGTTTTCTTTCTAAGTTAAAAAAAAAAAAAAAAATTCCCCTAACACTTAGCAGTGGGGAAGACCTGTCTTTGTGTCTTTGAGCAGGGGAAGTCACCCTCTGCATGACAGAAGAGGCAGGAGGGACATGATAGTTTCTTCCTCAAAAAACAAACAAGCCAACAAATAAACAAAAGGACAAAAAAGACTCAAGAGGGTGCTTATCTTCTAGAAAGGAGAGGCAAAAGTATGAGAGATGTAGTCTTGAGACCTACAGTTGGATACGAGTTAAATACAAGGGCTCCTGTAGCTTAAAAATAAAGTAGTAAAACAGTAAAAAAATAAATAAATAAACTTACTCTTTTCAATGAGCTGATCCTGAACTCCTGCCAACGCGCTCACTGCCTAAAAGACAAGAAGCCACCCGTCACTAGAAAAATTATCAGAGCCCTCAGGAGAGCACTCGGACAGCAGGGAAAGGGAAAACTCACAGGAATTTAACTGAGGTTTCCCTCAATAATGGGCCACAGAAAGAGTCCCCCCACCTCACTTACAGCTGCTGAAGTCACTGAGGATTTACTGAAGAGCCGCTCAGCTTCCTTAAACTTCCGGTTCCTTCGATCGTTTTTGCTATTGGAGTTTCTAAAACACACACAAGAAGCTTCGTAAGCAGCAAGCGGAGGACGGCCCTGGATGTAAGGTGTAAAAACTCTCTCTCTCTCATTGTCTCTCTTAGAAGAGAGACAGCCTCTGGACGCAACGCCTCCACACCAGGTGGATGGACCAAAACGTCCGTTATCCTGAATGCCCAAAGGGACAGCAATGGCTTCTAACGCGGGACAGGCTCCAGTGGTTCACGACCATTTTCATTTTTTTTTTTTTTAATTTTTTTTTTTCAACGTTTATTTATTTTGGGGACAGAGAGAGACAGAGCATGAATGGGCGAGGGGCAGAGAGAGAGAGGGAGGCACAGAATCGGAAACAGGCTCCAGGCTCTGAGCCATCAGCCCAGAGCCTGACGCGGGGCTCGAACTCACGGACCGCGAGATTGTGACCTGGCTGAAGCCAGACGCTTCACCGACTGCGCCACCCAGGCGCCCCACGACCATTTTCATTTTAATATGTATTTACTTTAATACTTACTCAAAACAACCGGCCCAGATGAGTGATATGAAATGTTTCTGTCAGATAAGCTTAATTTTTAAAAACTGAAGAACAGACCAGGGTTCCTTAAAGAAAGGGCTGGTATCAGTTCTGGGATAAGGAAAAGGTGAGTCTGAGACACCACATTGGGGCAGAAAAGAACCAAAATGCTCAAGGACTGATAGGGTCATGTCAAGAGGACAAAGGCATCAGCATGAGGAGGTTCCCGCTGGCCGCGTTTGGGACAAACTAAGCATCAAAGAGGATAATGGTGGGCGTGTTTGCTTTGTGAAAAGTCACTAAGCTGTGTATGTACGATGTGTGCAATCCTCTGCATATATTTCAATAAGTTTATATTTAAAAAAAAAAAGCCTCTACAATGCAAAAGTGACAGTACTAGATTCCAATACGCGGATTTTTTTTTGTTTTGTTTTAATCCATGGGTCTGTAGTGATACTAAAGAGAGGGGTCTGGAGATACAGAATGAAAGGGAGAGAAGATAAGAAGGCAAGATTCATCTTTCCAAATGCCAGTAAGCCATGTACACAAAGAATAAAATTAGAATAAGCAGTCTGTTAAGTGATTCAAGTAAAAATCAACAAAGAGTGGCGCCTGGGTGGCGCAGTCGGTTAAGCGTCCGACTTGAGCCAGGTCACGATCTCGCGGTCCGTGAGTTCGAGCCCCGCGTCAGGCTCTGGGCTGATGGCTCGGAGCCTGGAGCCTGTTTCCGATTCTGTGTCTCCCTCTCTCTCTGCCCCTCCCCCGTTCATGCTCTGTCTCTCTCTGTCCCAAAAATAAATAAAAACGTTGAAAAAAATCAACAAAAGATACTAACGTTGCTGAATAAAAATGTGGAGGATCGCAATATATTCACACCGTGTACAAGTACAACCTCCAAACTACTTACGAATTACAGAGAGAAAAATGAATTAAAAAAACATTTTTTTTAATGTTTATTTATTGTTGAGAGACAGAGACAGAATGTGAGGGGTTAGGGGCAGAGAGAGAGGGAGACACAGAATCCGAAGCAGGCTCCAGGCTCCGAGCTGTCAGCACAGAGCCCGACGCGGGGCTCGAACCCACAAGCTGTGAGATCATGACCTGAGCCGAAGTCAGACGCTCAACCGAGTGAGCCACGCAGGCGCCCCAAGAAAAAACAAATTTTTAACAACAGAGAAATCAGATGCTCAAACTTAACAGTACCAATAATGGGGCAATCTGACATCATGTGCCTCCCAATATAACAGAGGTAAATGACACATGAGGCACACAAATCATTTTTGCCAGAAACGTCGAAAGGCTCCCTCATGAGGTCACGAAAAGAAAAATCTGGAACTGGGACAGTCTGCAAGACAGTGTCATCAACAACAACTTCACCACTAACAAGGGTGGGAGACTGTCCTATTATCAAGAGACTAAAGAGACATAACAGCCAAATACAATACACGAAAACTGCCTGGATCAAAACAAGAGCAGCCAAGCATGCTGGGAACAATTAGGAGAATGTGAATAAAGGCTGTAGGGGATGATACTATTAATGTAATGCTAATTTTCTATGTGTGGTTAACTGTGGTTAGGTAAGAAAAATATTCTTAGGAGGTAATTGCTGACATAATTAGGGGTACAGTGTCATGATATCCGCTTGAATGGCTAACAACAACAAAAAGTATGGGGGAAAGGGAAGATAGAACTATAAAGGGGTAGCAGGAGGGAGAGCTTCCCAGCGACGAAATACTTCTGTATCTCTACTGCAGTGGTGGTTACAGGAATCTACACACAGTGACGGAATTACACATACACATTGTACCAATGTCCATTTCCTGGTTTTGCTATTGTGCTGTAGTTACATAAAACCCAACCATTGGGAAAAACTGGGTGAAGAGTACACGGACCTCTCTAATATTTCTGCAACTTCCCATGTGCCTGTAATTATATCAAGACTTTTAAAACTTTTAAGTATATAGATACAGGTTTGTGTATGTTTACACGCATCAGAAAAAAAAAGAGGCAAAGGTGGCAACATGTTAACAAGTGATGAATGAAGGTGAAGGATATCAAGTGTGCACAGTTCTATTTCAATTTGAAATATTTCAAATCGGGGCGCCCGGGTGGCTCAGTCAGTTAAGCATCCGACTTCGGCTCAGGTCACAATCTCATGGTTTGTGAGTTCAAGCCCGTGTCAGGCTCTGTGCTAACAGCTCAGGGCCTGGAGCCTGCCTCGGATTCTGTGTCTCCCTCTCTCTCTGCCCTTCTCCCACTCACGATCTGTCTCTCTGTCTCAAAAATAAACATTAGGGGCGCCTGGGTGGCTCAGTCAGTTGAGCGTCCAACTTCAGCTCAGGTCACAATCTCGTGGTCCATGAGTTCGAGCCCCGCGTCGGGCTCTGGGCTGATGGCTCAGAGCCTGGAGCCTGCTTCTGATTCTGTGTCTCCCTCTCTCTCTGCCCCTCCCCCGTTCATGCTCTGTCTCTGTCTCAAAAATAAATTAAAAAAACGTTAAAAAAAAATAAACATTAAAAAAAATGAAATATTTCAAATCTGAAAATTTTCAAAAAGCTTAGCAGGTTTTCCCTATTTCCCAGACGTAGGATTTGTCTACAATTACTCAGTGAGGGAGTGACCGAGCCAAAGTCTAAGTTCAACCCCAGACTGCCTTCCACAACCAGCACTTTGCTACCGCCTCCCTGCAAAGTTGCTACCAAGAACACATACAGCCCATACAAACAGAGCACCATACAAACACCACAGGCTTCTGACACTCACTTTTGGTTGGTCAGGTACCGATCCCAGCCACGAATAATATTGCCATACATCTGAGTGTCTTCCAGGTAGCTTCCTTCAAAAGCATAGATCTGTCTTTCCAAGTTTGCCAGTGTTTCCTGGGAGAGGAAAAACAAGGAAATGCCTTTTAAATGCAAACATTAACTCGGACAGAATCAAATTCTCTGACACTAGCCTTAGACACTCAAGCTCCATTACGCTAAGCCCTGGTGGAAAGACATGACATGGGGAGAGGAAAGCTGTTTTAGATTAAGACAATCTAGACCTGTCTTGTTGGAACCCTTGGAGAACAGAAGGGAAGGGATACAGCCTGTCTCCAGAAAAATGCACAAAATTTTGCAGATTCTTCAGAGGGTTCATGGAAACCCAGTTGTCAAGAACCCCCGCTCAGGCAGAACGCGGGCAGTCTCCACCCCCACGCGCAAAGGTATTGCTACTGAAGAGAGGAAAGGGTGAGCAGCCTTCCAGCGCCAACTCGCTCCCCTCCCCGCGGGCTCAGAAAGAAGGCCGGCCCTGGGCTGTCAGTTGCCATGGAAACCTGGAAGGGCAGCTTCAGGTGAGATGGCCCTCCCCGGTGCCCAAGCCAAAACACGGGAGAGGGGGTGGCCACCAAGGGTGGATAGGACCCGGGGTGCATATCACAGTTCTCAATTCCCTGGGCTGAATCCCTTCCCCTCGCCTGTCAGCTTCTGGATGTTCCCCCAAAACATCACAGCCATGCCCATCAAAAACCCCATCCAACGGATCTCCTAATCCTCAAAAGGACATGCGCCCCTCCATCCTCCAAAGGCCAGACTGGATGACCGTGTCCCCCTCCCACACTCGCCTCTACGCCACCCCCTCCAAGCCACTGGCAAGCCCGAACCGGTCTCCTACGGCCCCCCCGACACGCCCGACCCCACCCCTCAAAGAACACGGACCTGCCGCCCTCACCCACCCCGCAAAGGCCAAGGACACAACCGCTCCCAACCCCAAAGCTCACAGACACCTTTCTTGAGCTCCCACACTGAAGCCCCCCATCCTCAGGTGCCTTCCCGCCTCCGCGCCCCCGCCTGTCCCGGCCCCCTCCCCCTCTCTGCTCCTTGCCCCGCCCCCCGGCCCCAGCGCCCGACTCTCGAGCCGCGCAGCAGAGAAGCCGAGGCACCGGCGGGCCGCAGAACGCGCAACCGGCCTCAGGCCGCCGGGCTCCCGGGCGCCGCGTTGCGCCCGGGGAGTAACGGCCTGGAGCGATCGGGCGGGGCCCTGGAGGCGGCGGCAGGCGCGGGGCCCCCACCGGGCGCCCCCGCTGTCGCTCTCTCACCGCCAGCTCCTGCTTCCGCTTCACGAGCTCCGCCAGCTCCCGCCGGGTGTCCGGGATCTGCGGCGGCGCCGCCTTGTTGTGCATCGCCT